TAATATAAATAAATAAATAAATAAAAATAAAATAAGTGGGCCTAGGAAAATAAAAGGGATACCCCTGCCATGTTTCCAGCAGTTGTCCTAGGACAGAGGGATCCCAAATGACCTTAATACAATAATTTTGTTATTTTGTGCTTGTCTTTATGTTGTTATGTTTTCTGCAGTGAGCTCATGTTACTCAGGCAATAGCAAGCAATACAGACTACTTGTGACTCTGATCAGTGGGTCTTTGTTCCCCTTCCATAGCTCAAGGCTCCTGGGAGCCACAGTGCACAGGGATGAGCTGGTCATGCACTTGACCTCTCCCCACCTGCTCTGGGCTGGCCCCTCAAGGTGCATCTGCCCGGGGTGCTGGTGTTCATTCAGTTCCTGGCTCCATTGGATAAGGAAGGGAGAGACTCCCAGGGGAAGTGCACAGCTCTCTCCCAGGGTGTCCCGGAACCCTGCTCTTCCCCTTGCCCGCAGCCTTGGCTCACCCTGTTTCCATCCACAAAGCCGCCCAGGGTGGGCAAAGGCAGGCAATGAGGAGGGGGCCTGAGGACACAGCCAGTGCTCGCCCAGGAGGAGCCCACAGGCTCACGGCTTCAACTAGACTTTCTCTAAGTTGGGTTCTCCTGGAGCAGAGCCCGAAACAAGTACTCCTTTGGGAAGCGACCCCATACCACGCCGAGGGAGCAGGAAGGAATAGCAGCAGGGAAGGAGAGAAGCCAACATAAGGAGTGTCATCCAGGTCACCTGTGGGCAACCTGAACTCCATTCCTCTGAGAACTCAAACAGGTCTCAGCATGCCGCCCAGAGGAGGGGGGCTGGAGCCTGTGAACCCCTGTCCTTCTTGGGCTCCGGGATGCCCCAGGGACATGAATTCCCTCTAACCAAGCCTGCTCCCTCACTCCCAAAAGAATGCCAGAGGGAAAGATCTGAGAGAGGGCCACCCACCCAGCTTCACCGCCACCCCTAACCCGGCCTCTCTCCAGAGCTCTGGACCCACCTGTCCCTCATCCTCCAGACTAGCCCCGCAACCTCTACCCTGGTACCCAGAGTACTACCCTCAGCAGAATACAACCTCTGTCCGCTGAAACAGGCCCCCTCCTAGGTCCCCAGCTCAGAAACAGCTGTTCCATCCTCTCAGGTACTTTAGCCAAAGAGTAGGCATCCCCAGCCTTCCCCCAGCCCCATACCCACGACCTACTGCCTCTGCCAGCCCGACCACCCATTCCTGTTGTCCCTCCCACCGCAGTTACCATCCTGGTGTCCTGGTGATCTCCTGGCCTCTGGCCTTCCATCCCTGATTGGTTCTATAGCAGCCTTCAGGTTCTTCTTTCCAGAACACATTTCTGGTTCTTCAGGATTCCCCTGTGGCCTCAGGCCAAAGCCCAGGCTTAGGAGGCTCTGCTGGCCCCTCCAGGCCCATCTGCCTCTTCCCCCAGAGCTTACCTGTTGCTCACTCCCTGCCTGACCTAGGGTCTCACCTCTTGTCCTTCTCCCTCCCTCTGCTCCCAGGTTAATCCTGTTCATTCTTTGGTCTCTCCCTTGACCCTCCAGCCAGGGCCAAAGCTTCAAGGACCCCCATCCACACTTCTCAGAAGAAATGCTCATTGTAACCCATTCATTCCCACCACAGGCCAAGAGCTCCAGTGGGTAGAGTTTGGGCTTGGGTCATTCTTGTGCCCCAACCCTACCCTGACTAGGGCTTGACACTGAACAGGCCCCATGCTTGTTGAGGCAGGAATCTCAGACCTGGATTCCCCAAGTTCCTTGAAATAGTGCCAAGCCTCTCCCAGCCCCTGCCTGAGGTTAGCACATGAGCTCAGGCTGCCAGGCCAGGAACTGAGCCAGCCATCCTGCCCCAGGTCACGCCCTGAATCTGGCCTCACCTTCTCCCCATACCTCCCCTCACCCCCTCTCCAGCTCAGGTAAGCGCTCAGCAGGGTATGGATCCCCAGAGGAGCCAGGAAGGAGCCCAGCCTCCATGTTGGCCCAGGCCTCACCCACCAAGGCCTGCAGTCCCTGGCTGAGACCTCTCCCATCTCGAGGCCTAGTCTGGGAGAGGCCCAGAGCTGGCAGGGAAGCTCCTCCCCACAACCTGGATTTGAACCAGGCCTCTTGCCTGTGTTCTGTGCTCGACTTCTCACCACAGCTACCTCCCAATAATTAAACATATTTAATCATCCAATCGTTAAATTCGCTCCCTGGGCCTTGAACTAGCTCCCTTGCAGCCTTCTCATTCCTGGAGGTGCTGGCATCTGTGTTTCTAGGACCGTGGGGCAGGGCTATTTGACTCCATTCAACTCTGCAAACACTTGTGGATCGCTATCTGTGTCAACAAGAGAAAACATGCCTGAGAAGCATACAGCAGGGGAAAGGCCAGTCTGGGCCGCGTCCCATCCCCCCTGCCCCTTGAGCCAGGGGGAGGAGGAGGAGGAGGAGTCCGTCACCTGCCAGACCCCTCTACCTGCCAGGCACTGGAAACTCAAGGCTCAGAGAGGGGGAGAAGCATCCCCAGGGCACAGAGCCAGGGCTGGAGGGCTGGTGGAGGCCTTGGGAATTGATGAAACAGTTACTGGCTCGAGGGTGCACTCTGGTTGACGAAACACATACAGCTCCTGCCTTGGATGAAACTCACAGGTCAGTGTGAGAGGTGGTCGACACACTGGAGAACACAGCTCTTGCTGCAGAAATCCAGACTGTGATACAGGCCAGGATGGGAGTGAGTGGGGACAGGAGAGAGGGGGCACCAAGGCCAGGAGGCCAGGGAGGGCTTCTCCGAGAAGATGAACCCTAGCTGAAGCTTAAAGGATGAAAGAGTGGCTGTTGGAAGATGCGGTAGGGAAGAGCATTCAGGCAAAGGCCCTGAGGAGAGAACTGGCTTGTGTTGGTCCGGGTGGCGCAGTGGGTGGGAGGAGAGCAGTGGGGGACGAAGCTAGAGCCATCAGAGGGCCTGGAGCCGCCTGGGCGGTGTTGAGGGACGTGGTCTTTATTTAAAGGCACAGGAGGCCTCTGTGGATGTTCAGTGAGGAGGGGTGACACCCCAATCCTAGGCACGTTTTGAAAGAGCCCACTGGTGCTGCACGGAGGAGGACTGGGGGGGCAGGAGGAGGCTGGGAAGTCCTCAGGGAGGAAGGGGCTCAGCCCTGGCAGGAAGGAGGGGAGAAGTGCATGATTCACGTGCATTTGGAGGAAGCGCCCACAGCCCCTGCTTGGGTCAGGAGTGTGGGTACAAAGAGGGTGGAAGCAAGATTGATCCCCAGGTGTCTGGTTTGAGGGGATGGAGTTATCGTTTGGAAGTCTGGGTAGGTGTCCATTGCGAGGAAGAAGTCAAGAGTTCAGTTTTAGCCAAATTGTGTTGGAGAAACCCATTATGTATCCATGGAGATGTCGAAAAACACTAGTAATACTCAGCCAACACTTAACTGAGAACACTCTGCGTCAGGAACTAAGTGCCTTATGTGTAAGTACCTCATTTAATCCCTTCAGCAACCCCTTGAAAAAAGAAACTATCATTATGTCCATTTCACTGCTCAGAAAATTGAGGCTCACAGTAAGATATATAGGATGAGAAGAAAGCCATGTAGAGCCTCAAGGAGCCCTACATCTAAAGAGCTACAGGGCCAAAACCAGTTTGGCTCAGTGGATAGAGCGTCAGTCTGCGGACTGAAAGGTCCCAGGTTCGATCCTGGTCAAAGGCATGTACATTGGTTCCAGCACAGCTGGACGATGTTTCTCCCTCATCAATTTTTTTCTAGCTCTCTGTCCCTCTCCCTTCCTCTTTGCAAAAAAAAATATATATATATATTTTTTTTAATAAACAAACAAACAAACAAACAAATAAATAAAGAGCTACAGCCTCCAAATGGGGTTCTGAGCTCCCCAGAAGGGGGTTCTCCTAGGTCAGCCTGATGCAGTCAAGGAGCCACAGGAGGGAAAACAGGGATAACCAAGTGTCCAGGGGATTGGACCACAGAGCGTCTATCGCTGACTCCAGGCAGTGTGGTTAGGGCACTCCCCGCATTTCCAAAGTCCCTCAGGCAAAGAATCACCAGGCTTGCCACATCTCTTGTAATCGCCTGTGTGTCGTCTACCTGGCCCCACAGATTGAAGGAAGGGGCCATTCTGATCCATTTTGGTCAGGGTCTAGACAGAGCAGGACTTCGGTGTGTTTGTTAAACCTCAACTTAAATGAGCTGCTTGGCCGAAACCGGTTTGGCTCAGTGGATAGAGCATCGGCCTGCAGACTGAAGGGTCCCAGGTTCGATTCCGGTCAAGGGCAGATACCTTGGTTGTGGGTACATCCCCAGTAGGGAGTGTGCCTACATCCCCAGTAGGGAGTGTGCAAGAGGCAGCTGATCGATGTTTCTCTCTCATCGATGTTTCTAACTCTCTATCCCTCTCTCTTCCTCTCTGTAAAAAATCAATTAAAAAAAAAAAATGAGTTGCTTGATGCCTTGTGAAGGCCAAGGCCTTGATGCTGCTCTGGCTCAGGAGGCAAGGTACCACATCTCAGATTCGGCACTTCTCCCAGGCAGCCGTAGAGATGCACAGAGCCCCTGAGTGATTAACAACCAACAGGGACATCATTTTTCCCGCCCTCGTTTTCCAGAGGAGGAACTTGAAGCTTGGAGCAAAGAGGGCACAATCCACGGGTCCACGGTCAGTGGGGATGAATCTCGCTCACATACGTGGCCCCGACTCTGCCTCGTAGCTCCCCTCCCATAAATGCTGAGGCCTAGGTGTCCTTATCTGCAAAACCAGGTTAGACCCAGCAGTCTCAGAAAGCTCAGCCCCAGTGCCTTTCTATGAACTCGGAGGCCACAGGCCCCACGGTGGGGGGAGGAGAGATCCCTCAAGAGGCTGTTTATCATCTTGTTGTACCCACCCCCACCCTTGAACTCTCGGAGCAAAACATTCCCAGAAACAGGGTGATTCATTCACAGCACTATTTGCCAGTTCCAGAGAAAAGGCAGAACATGAAATACATTCTGCAACTTTTAAAAAAGGAGACAAAGCAATTTTAAGATGAAGTTTCCCTTTAGAGGACAGAGGCTGAGGGGGCTGGGACATACATCTTTTTCCTTCCAGAGAGCAAGCTTCGTGGGTGGGGAAAAGATCATGGTTTGAGCCAACTTCTCCCAAAACACAAGGTGGTACCCTCTAAGACCACCAAAGACAGCAGTGTTTTTTAAAACATGATGGGCTGAACCTGGCAACCACTGTTAATGTTGACTCAATGTGAGTTAAGACCAAATTAGATTGGCTGTTTTTTATGCTAATCCATGCCAGAATTCCAACTGATGGCTCCTTTTAAATTAAGCAGAGGGAAGCTGCTGAATGTTGGAGGGTTTGGACATCTGGCTACCCAAGCAGGCATGGACAGAGGTTAACAGGTGAGTCTGGTAGGGTCTTTGTGTAGAATGATAGGGAGAGTGACTGATTAACTTCCATAATCCACAGAAAACCAACCCAGAATGACTGTAGCAGTACAAAGAACGGGGGAAAGCTCTCATTTTAAAGGTACAGGATATCTGTGCCTCAAGTTATGAATTTGTACTCAACTCTTTAAAAATTGTATTTTTAGTTCCCAAACCCAATAGGGGCAGAAGTAGGAGTGAGCTTGATCTCTTTGCCCAAGTGAGAATGTGATACAATAAGAAAGCTCCAGAGATCTGGGTTCTAGTTTGATTCTGATTCCAAAGAGCTAGATGGTATTGAGCATGCTTCCGGCCCTCAGTGGGACTCAGTTTCCCCATCTGTAAAATCCCAGGGAAGAGAATGTGTTGAGGAAGAAGGGGCCCTTGAGAATGGGCTTTGGGGTCATTCTAATCTAATTTTCTAGCTGTGTGTCCTGAGGTAAGTTAATGAACCTTTCTGAGTTTTCTCATCTCTAAAGCAGAGGCCATAATATTTATCTCATGGGATTTGCTGACAACTTAAAATCACATAATGTGTACCAAGAGCATAGCGTAATACCTGGCCCACAGGAATATTTTTTGTTCAGGTGTAATTTACACATAATGAAACACTCAGATCTTAAAACATTCCATTTTGATGACTGCATATCAAGATAAGAGAACACTGCAATTACCTCAGAACGTTTTCTCATGCTGCTTCCTGGTCGGTCCTCCCAGGAACAACTCCTGATCTTATTTCTATCACCTGAGGTTAGTCTTGTCTATTTTATAATAGAATTCTCTATGAATAAGACCAGGCGGTGTGCATTGTATTTGTGTTTGTGGGTATGTTTGGCCTTTTCCCCTTTAAACAATAGCTTTGAGGTTCATTCGTGTTATTGGGTGTATGAGTAGATCATTGCTTTTGGTCTGTAGCATTTCACTGCATAAACACAATGCAGTGTTACCATTTTGTTGATCAGCACTTGAGCTATTTTCAGTTTTTGCCTATTATGATGAGAATTGCTATGAACATTCTAGCTAGAATTTAGTACAAGACTTCCATGGATAAGTATTTTCATTTCATTTGAGTAAATACCTAGGAGTGGAAAGCTGGATCATAAGGGTAGATGTATGCTGAACTTTGTAAAGAAACTCCCAAATGGTCTGCCAACGTGGTTCCTTTCACACTTCCACTGGCAATCTTTGAGAGTTCCAATCACTCCACAGACTCTGCAACATTTGCTGTGGTCAGTCTTTTTTATTTTCGTCATTCTGGTATCACATTGTGGTTTTCATTTGCATTTCCCTGATGACTAATGAACTCCTTTCGTGAGTTTATTTAGAATTTTTTTAAAGGTAGTTCCTCTCCCCTTTGCTACCATGTAGCTTTCAGCCTCCATGATTTGAAGGACTGTTGAATAAATGAGGAAGGGAAAATTGAAGGGAAAACTGAAAACTGAAGTTGGAGCTCTTTTCATTTCCACCAGAAATCGAGAGCTCCAACTACAAAAGCATGAGTTCAACCTGGGAACCTTCCTCTTAACTTCGGTTTCCCTGGACTGTGGGGGGTAAGAATGTGCTCATCTTCTGAGGAAGCCAAGATCATGTTTTAATGACAATAATTTTGTCTGGATTGAATAATCATTTTCATTGCTCCCATCTTAGACTATTACTATGCTGTAGGCATCATATATACCACAATGTGTCTAATTTTTCAATAACCCTGCAAGGTTGTTATGATCTCCATTCAGTGAACTTTGAAAATCAGAGATGTGAATTCCTTTGCCTAATACCACATAGCTACATCTCCATAGAATCAGATTCAAAATGTGACTGCTCCAAAATATCACATTCACCAAGCTGCCTTACACACACACACACACACACACACACACACACACACACACACACACACAAAGACAGAGGAATATTATTCGGCCATAAAAAGGAACAAAGTGCTGATATGATACATGAACCTCAGAAACATCATGTTAAGTGAAAGAAGCCAGACACAAAAGGTCACATATTGTGTGTGATTCCATTTATTCAAAATATCTAGAATGGGTAAATCAATACCTATCCACAGATAGTAAATTGATGGTTGCCAGAGGTTCAGGAGAGAGGAGAATGGGGAAAACTGCTTAATGGGCCTTTCTTTAGGGATGACAAAGTTAATTTGGAACTAGATGGGGTGGTGGTTACATAACATTGTGAATATAATAAATGCCACTAAGTTGTATACTTTAAATAGTTCATTTTATGTTTATTTATTTCAATAAGATTTTTTAACTCCACTCTAGAGTAATTTTACTATTAGTGAAAGTGGTGATTTAGTCCTTTGGGTAATGATGGCTCCAGAACCTGGGCCCAATCTCCTCCTCCCCTCCCCCCTCACTTGCCGAGAACCCTCCTTGAGAATTCCAGGGTGAAAGGGAGGAGGCAGCAGGATGACTCAGAGAGTGAGGCCCAAGGTCAGGCTGCCTGAGTTCATTTCCAGGTACCTCCATGCGTCAAGTGTAAAATGGGGATGATCATGTTACCATCCTCATGGGGTTGCTGTGATGGTATCATGTACACAGAGTGTCTGGGCACATGTAATGCTTATTCAATAAGCTATATTGCTGGGGCAAGCAACCTTCTCCTAATATCATCCACGCTGCAACTATTTCTTGAGCATCTACTACCCTGTTTCCTCGAAAATAAGACAGTGTCTTATATTAATTTTTTTCTCCCAAAGTTGCGCTAGGTCTTATTTTCAGGGGATGTCTTATCTTTCCATGCACTAGGTCTTATTTTCAGGGAAACACGGTATGTGCCAGGCCCTCTTCTAGGCGATGGGGACTCATCTACAAGCAAGAACAATAAACTCCTTTCTTCTTAGAGCTTACATTCCAATTGAGATACAAAAAAACACACCAAGTAAGTAAAATACATAGTATATTAGAAGATGGTATATGCTCAGAAGAAAAAATGAATAAGGGATAGGGACAGGAAGTTTTGGGGAAAGGTTACAATTTTAAATTGGGTTTAAGAAGGCTTCCCTGAATAATGATCTGAGGGAAGTAAGGTATATTCATTTCCTGTAGCTGCTGTAACAAGTATACAAACTTAGTGGCTTAAGACAACCCAAATGTAGTGATTTACAGTTAAGGTCAGGAGCCCAGAATGGGTCTTGCTGGGCTAAAATCGAGGCGTTGGCAGAGCTGTTTTCCTCTGGGAGCTCTAGGGAAGGTCCATGCCTTGTCTCTTCCAGCTTCTAGAAGCCGCCCACATTCCTTGGTTCATGGCCCCACATTACTCCAACATATGCTCCCATCACCCCATCTCCTTCTCTTTGACTTCCCTGCCTTCCTCTTTTCCGTATAAGGACCCTTGTTATCTTATTGGGCCCACCTGGATAATCCAGAATAATCTCCCCATCTCAAGATCCTTAATTTAATTATACCTGCAAAGTCCTTTTTACCATGTAAGGTGGTAGTCACTGTTCCTCAGGACTAGGATGTGGACATCTTTGGGGGCCATTATTCTGCCACTTGGGGCATAGTATCTAGAGAAAGTGGGAACAGCAAGTTCAAAGGCCCTAAGGCAGCAGTTGCCTGGCATGTCTGAAGAAGATGATGGCCAGTGAGGATGAAGTAGAGTGGGCGAGGGAGAAATGGTCTCACAAAGTCAGGAAGGTGAAGGAAGTGGAGTGGCACTCGCAGGACTTCAGCCTTTACTTAAATGGGAGCAGGTGAGGGATGCGAACTTACGGGCTTTAACAGCATCCCTCTGGCTGCTATGTTGAGCACAGTCTGTCATGGTTGCTGCATTATCTGGGCAAGATGATGGTGGCTGGACCATGGTAGTAGAGGAAAGTGGTGACATAAGGTCTCATTCTAGATTGTGAAGGTCAAGTAACAAGGAACCACTTAAGTGGAGTGTCAGAGAATGAGGGGAGTCAAGGATGACTCCAAGGTATTTGGCCTGAGCAACTGGAAGAATTACCCTATTTTTCGGACCATAAGATGCTCCGGACCATAAGACGCACCAGTTTTTAGAGAAGGGAAATGAAGAAAAAAAGATTCTGAAACAAATAGTGTCCTAAAATATTTTATGTGCATTAAAACCCAACATCATAGTCATAAACACATGTAATCAACCCTGTAAAGTAAACAGCAGCATTTAGAACCATTTTAGAGCCGGGCAAGCACACAGAGACCACACAGAGCCGGGCAAGTAAAAAAACTTTTTTTAAAATATATGTGTAGGCTATATTTGGACCATAAGATGCAGGGACTTTTCCCCCCCACTTCTGGGGGGGGAAAGTGCGTCTTATGGTCCGAAAAATACGGTAAGTCTGATCTTTAAAATGAGGAAGACCACAAAAAGATCGGACTTGGGATGGCTGGTGAGAGATCTGGGATTTGCTTTGAGATGCATGTGAACATGCAACTGAGTGGGAAGTCAGATATATAAGTCTGGAGTTTGGAAGAGAGGTCTGGAGGGATTTGTTTGGGAGACACGGTAGTATTTAAAGCCAGGAGCCTGGATGAGATCGCCAAGGGACTGCATGCAGAGATAAGAGAACACGGGCCCCTCTGAGGAGAACCCAGTGACACTGGAGGAAAACCAGGGGAGGGTGTGGTCTCAGAAGCCAAGAGCACTGAACATTAGAAACTGTTCAGAGTAAGTATGGAATGGGGAGGGTGGAATGGAAGATGACCACCCTTGCTTTCCTAGGTCTGTTCTCTGGCAAACAGCCTCTGGGAGACAATTTAAGGGAGATGGACCTTAAATTCTTGCGAGGCCCACTGGGGCAGTGCAGGGACCCTCACGGCACCGAACCTATTGACACTCACTATTTGTTAAATCCTGAGGAAAGGGCCATGGACTTGGGCCCAAGTCTGAGTTCTGGCACCGTCAGGAAGCCAGGGTTTCAGTTTCTCCTCTCTGAAATGGAGATGACACATGCTCACTCCTTAAGCTCCCCCTCATCAGCCATGACATTTGGGAAAGTGTTTGGCAAACTGTGAACCAGCTGGGTGAATCGGTCTTAAGTCGAGGCTTTTCCTTGGCAGCTGACTCAGGTACACGGCTGGACCTGTGTGACCCACCCCATGCCACGTGAGGCCTTCGACTTGATTTTTCTCAAGTCACTCTCACAGCTCCTTCCTCAGGCAACGGGAACTGGGAATGAGTGGGACCCGGTCCCAGTGGAAACTCTAACACATACACGGACATTCACAAGTGTTTCCAATGACTAAAGACCACACAAAGCAGCTGGCTAACCCTTCCTGAAAAGTTTTCCCGGGATGACTGCAGGGCTGCCCTCACCCGTGGCTACCCTCAGCCACAATGTCCCTCCTCTCCAAGGGTGAGCCCCTCCTTCACCCCTAAGGCAGGGACCAGGCTCCCCCTTTCCCTCAGCAACAGACAGCACACAGGAGGTTCAGCATGCAGGCCAGTTTATTCACATTCACTTCCCCAAAGACTTTCCCACACTGGTCAGGGAATGGAAGAATTGGGGGCTAGGGAAGAGACATGGGATATTGTAGAAGTGGAAGCCAAAAGGCTCACCTTGAATGTGTTATGAGGGATGAAAAGACTTTGGTCCAAGAGTGACAGGCCCCCATTTCAGAGACTCAGAAAGTTGGGCCCAAGAAACACACACTCATTCACCCAAACCTCTTCCATCTGCAAGGAGAGAACCAGGCATTGCCCTGACCCGGGTTTTCTGCTGGCGCTCACACCCGGCAGTTTTCAGACCTGGCCATAGCACTCTGGCCATGGCCATGGTGTCTTGACCTAAACAGAGCAGGTGAGGCCTTGCTCCACCTCACAAGCGGAGGAGACAAAGGTGACTGACTGATCAGCAGGTCTGCGGTGCACAAATGATGGGAGAGGGCAGTGTGTGTCAGCATTAGATAATGGCTCTGAAACGTAGTGTAAATCCACAAGGTGGGTAACTAAAGGCCAGATCTATGATTAAGTAGAAAATATAATCTGACCGGACTTGTGAACAGACTTCTCAGACAGTCTCTGCTCACAGGGTATTTCAGTCTTCTTGACTCTAAACCACCAAGAACAGAAGGAAGAGGAAGTGGTGGTCTGCCCAGCTGGGACCTGGGACTGTCATGATGGTCCAGATCTCTGAGCCTGGGCGGAGTGCGGGAACAGGACACTGAGTCCCCAGAGGGCGGCCTTCAAGGTCTCATCCCTCCCACCCAGCTCCACAGCTCATCTTCTAACGCTTCTTCTTGGCCTCCTTCTTGGGCCTCTTGTTTGTGGAAGGAGCAGCAGCCTTGGGCTTCCTCACTTCCCCGCTTCTGGGCTCAGACGGCTCTGTGTCCTGCATGGCGATAAAACAGAGTCCTGCTTAGATTAATCAAGCCTGACATCAGCAAAATGAGATCATGTCTGAAGGGACTTTGCAGACAGAAGCATGCCACAGAAACACAAGGATGGAAACCATGATGGCTGGGACCCAGGACGGATATGTGTGCAGGTTAGTCCCTGGGAGCTGGGTAGTTCTTAGTAAAGAGGGGGAGGCCCTGAGGGCAGGACACAGTCTTTGGAGTCTCATAGGCCTGGGTAGAATGTAGGCTCCTTCATGCTCCAGCCAAGTGACCTCGTGGGCAATCCGCTTCCCTTTCCTGTGCCTTGGTTTACCCACCAATGAAATGGAAGTAGCGATGCACAGCTTGGAGGACTAATATAAGTAGGCAATAATGCATAAAATGTAGCTGTACCTACTGGCTGGCTGGCCACCCTGGGCAGAGTCTGGGCAGAGTTTGGGTGAAGAGTCAGCTGTGGGGCAACGCCACTATGGCCTGCTCTCCCCTTCTGGCCTGCTGTTCCCCTCCTACCATTCAACCCACAGAATGCCAGGGCCACAGGGGTGGCGTGCTAGCAGGTAGTCAGTCATTGCACTGCTCTGTGGAACCTGGCAGAGGTACCCCATGGGGTGGGCAGAAGGCAGCTTCAGGGCAGAACTCCAGACTCTCTGACGCCTGGAGGAGCTCTGCTTTTACTGTCGTATACACTGTGATTTCTTCCCAATAAGACTTGGTTTAACCAAAGGTTCTGCAGCTAAAAGAGGTTCAAACTGCTGATCCAACCCTGGCCTTGGTTGTGCTGATATAAAAGCAGGCTTTGGGGAAGGGCCTCAGCCTCTCCAGCCACCCAGGCTCATGTCAGAAGTATCTGGCGAGGACTCAGTCCTGTCGAGTATCCTTCCTCCCCAGGTGATCAATCACAGTGCCACAGCCAAGCAAGACGTCAGCAAGTTCCACCCAGCTCCGAGAGCACTACCCACAGCTCCCAGCTCATCTGGCCCACAGGCGAACTTCACTTGGCCTACAGAGTTTGTTTTTAAGAATTTAAGCCAATTGGGAGATTTCCCATTCAATCCAGATCCATAGCTTTTTTGAAAACTTTAAACATCCGGTGACACTAGCCCCGAATCCCCTTGTGGAAGAAATGGGCTGAGCTGCAGCTGCCCCTTTATCCATGTGCCCACAGCCCCCACGACCCTGGTGCCCCCAACACTACAGAAAGAACATGTTTCTCAGTGCCCGGGTTCTTTTATTAAATAATTTGAAAACAAAAAAAGACTAAAGAATGTGAGGAGAGAACACACTTTTTCTGGAAGAGAAAAATATTTTCCCCTGTTTAATTGGACAACTCCCAGCTTCAGCTTGCTTTAAGTTCTATCCCTCCAGCTCACCCACTGGCCTCTGGTCTAAGGCTCACCCTACAGGACCTCGGCCGGGGAGGGGCAGTCCCTGCCAGAAGGGTCAGTCCAGAGGTCCGTCAGCTCTCTTATCAGCCAGTATCGTCTCCTCTCCACCCTGCCAGCTGAGACGTCAGAGGTAAAGGCCCAGCCTCAGCCCCAGGAACCTACAAGTGACCTTCTCAAGATAATAAGCAGGCTGGTCTCTCCTCTGGCCAAGTCTCTGATGACCACTCTGGACTTCCACAGCTTGTCCCTCTGTGCTGACACTGTTTATGTAACTTGAGAAGAAGAAAAAAAGTCCCATTATAAAAGCAAACAAAATCAAACTTCAGAGGAGCCAGTGTCTCAAGTGCACAGGCTGCAGGCTGCAGAGCTCAGCGGGAAGGCTACTGTTTAAGGCAAACCTCACAGGGCACAACGCCCTGGGAGACTTTGGGAGCAGTACTGGTCCGTCCCTGGAAAGCAGTCTGAGTGCCCTGGGCAAACAGACCCTGATTAGACCAATGGTTAGTGCACGGGGCACCTGCTGAGGCCTCCCGGGATCTCCAGGTGGAGCCCCACTCAGCTTCAGTGCCTCCTCCGGTTCCAGAGGGGCCCCGTTTGGAATCCACAGAGAAGATGAAATCCAGATGAAGATTCCTTCATCCACAAACCCTCTCTCAGGTGCCTCTCTCAGACCTCTCCCCTGATCCAGCTGCCTGTCAGATGACTAAGACTGGAGTCTCCCAAACACCTCCACCTCAGATGTCCTAGACCAAGGATGGACCCTTCTCCAGCAGGCCAGGGCCTTCCCCTCTCCCTCCTCCAACCTGTAGGCAGACCAACCAGAGTCCCAAGGAACCACCCTCTCCCTCCTCCACACCGTCTGGTTAGTCACCAAGTCCTTTGATTCAACTTTCCCTACCTCTTGACTCAGCCCCTCTTTAGCATCAGAGTCCCTACTTCAGTTCCCCCTCTGCTAACCAACCTCCCAGCTCTCTATGCCATTCCTGTGTACCTGCCAAAGGCATTTTTTTTAAATGCCCCCACCTTGAACCTTCCATGGCTTTCCATCACCCATAGTCTCATGTCCCACACCTGGGATGGCATCTTAGGAGACCACCTCTCCAGCTTCAACCGTGCTCTCCTCCACCACCTCCTCTCCCTACACACTGAGTCAGGCCCCAGATTCCCAACTGGTCACCCCTAACAAGAGGAGCACCTTCATTCCTTGGCCTCCCAGTAAAGCCCTCCCCATGGTTTGGTTCAGTACGTAGAACACTCTCCTACTCACAGGCTAATCTTCCTTCTCTACTCCTCTACTTATAGCCAAGTACAGCCCTCCTCCACCCTACCCTGCAGGGCCTCAGGAACCTTTTAATGCCACTATTATCTTATCATAGTTACATGTTCTCATGTTGGTCTCCTCTAGTAGCTTGTGAGCTCCTTTGGACAACTTCAATTGTTGCTGAATGAATGAGTGAAATGAAAGAACAGGCAAGATCTCCCATAACCTAAGACTAGGCGTCACTTTTTCCATGGCAAAAAGGACACAAGCAGATTTTAAACCCAATATACATAACCTGAAGCAATCAATAACAACAACAACAGCCACAATAGCTGCTCATATTATTTACAACTAGTGACCCAGTGCACAAAATTCATGCAGGGGAGGGGGGGTGGCCTGCACCCCCTCCAATCTGGGATCCATCGGAGGATGTCCAACTGCCAGTTTAGGCCCAATCCCACAGGACATCCCTCTCCCAATCTGGGACCGCTGGCTCCTAACCGCTCAGCTGCTTGCCCCGAACCACTCTGGCTGTTGGCTTGCTCGCCTCCAATTGCTTCCCCCCGCCAGCCTGCTCACCCCAAACTGCCCTCCCCCGCTGGCTTGACCATTCCCAACTGCCCTCCCCTCCTGGACTGATCACTCCTAACCATCTCTGCATCGGACCCACCACCACAGCTTTGTTCGGAAGGATATCTGGGAAGGTCTCCCAGTCTAATTAGCAGATTACCCTTTTATTAGAATAGATATGCCTGTGTTACATGGTTTGGATATATCTTATTTTAGCCTCCCAAACTGCCCTAATGAGCCCATTTTATAGATGAACGAAGAGATACTCAGAGAGGAAATGTGACTTGACTAAGGTCTCAGTTGGTGAGCAGCAGAGCCAGGATTTGAGCCTAAGCTCTTAATGGTTATATACAGGATAGCCTCTCCAGCTTCCTAAGTGACCTCAGGGTTTGGAGACAGAGAATTTGAGTCAACTGTGAAATTTACTTTCACAAATTGACACGGACAACTGGTTCTAGATTCTGTCTGTCAATGGGTCATCCAGAACCCCTGTTTGTGACTAAAGTTCTACAGGAGTCGGGAAAGTGGTTAGTGCTCCTCGAGTCAGGCTTTACTTTCTACAGATGAAAGCAATTCTCTGTAGGTGTATGTACAAATTAGTCATCGAGTCATCCGAATGTCTTACCTGTCTCCTCACCCAGACCTCCTCCTCCCTTTCCATCTCAATTTCTGGCATTGTCACCCACCTAGTTACCAAGCTAAACGGCTCCAAGTCATTTCTGAGTTCTCATCATTCTTTGGTGCCCCACATCCCACCTGTCCCCAGGTCCTGTCCACTCTGCCTTCCAATGGGCTCTCATTCCCCCGCCCCCTTTGGACAAACACAACTGTGCCAGATCAGACCCCGCAGTCTCCTGCCTGCCTCACTGTATCAGCCTCCCCCAGACTTTCCTCCCACCTGCCACATTGCTTTCAGAATGTAAAACTGTTGTTTCAGGAGACCACATCTGTTTTCTGCTTTAAAAGTGTCCCTGGCTCCCTCAATATAATTCCTAGAGCCTGAGCGTGGCCTCTGGGGCCCTGTCACTCTAGCCCCAACCCTGTCTCAGGACACACCCCTTCATGCAGCCCACTGCGTCCCTCTGGCTTACTGATCAAGCTCGCATCTCCCAGGTATTCAGTTCCCTGTCATGCTCAGCACAGGCACTGCGCATTCATCACCCACCCAGTGTAAGCAGGTTCTGAGCCAGGCACCACAGGGTAATGAGGAAGATAATGCATGCTTAGTGATGTGCACCATGTGGGTGCTTCACAAACATCAGCTCACTGAGCCTACCATCACCTTGACCAGCCAGCCACTGCAAGCTCCATTTTACAGGTGAGAAAACTAAGACTCAGAGACTGGTCCACTGAGGCACAGCTGCCTTCCATACAAGCTGTAGGGAGCAAGGCGGCTATTGCACACGATTCGGCTGCTGGGACCCTAGCCACACAGAGCTGGAGCTCCAAGACCTTGGCTGGCAAGAATGACTCTGAACGAATGGCTGACTTAATTTCTCTTCAACTGCATGTTGCTGGTACAAGCCAGGCAGGGGGCAGATTTCAAAAACTACAGCCCCACCTTTAAATCTGGAACACTTCTCTTCCTCCGAAGCAAGTTTTAAGTTTCCTCGACAATCACACTACCAGGAGGCTCCTGGGTCTGCAGAGCTGTCCTCTGTGGACAGAGGCCCCATCAATAATGAAGCAGTTCCACAACCGCTTATGAGGCCAGAAAATTGCTGCTATTCATCAGCTTCAAATAATCGAATCTGTGCCACAATGCATCAAATCCCTTCCAGCAGGGAAAGCGCCCAGAATTTTATTGTTTCCGCTACACAGTCAGTGTGGATTTGGTCCTATAAATCAGGACCAAATGTCACTCTGCACAGACTGAATCCATGCTTTCCTCTAAAATGGTCCAGGAAAGAAAACCTCTGTGCTCAGCTCAGAAAACCCCACACACCTTATCTCAGTCGGTCCTCAAGAACTCTGTGGGCCTCCTTTTACAGCTCAGCACACAGGCTCAGGGAGATGAGGGTGGGCCAGCACCCAGGCCAGGTGTGACTAGTGCTGAAGCTCCTGCTGCCCCACTGTGCAGGGTGGGCACTGAGAAGACCTGGCAGAGATGGAACCAGCTCTGGCTTTGAGGAGAACAGGACTAGCTGAAACAGGGAGCAGGGGAGGCCGTCCATGTGGGCTCCACAAGGCAAACAGAGACGTAGCGTCCAGGACATGCTTGGAAAGTCTGTGATTAGTGAGAAGAGCCTTAGGAATCCATTCCAGACACAAGTCAGCACAACGCAAGCCCTTCCCACCAGCTGGTCTGTGGTTCCCTATGTATCCCGCTGTCTCTCCCACAAGCAGGTATACATCTCAAGACCATGTTTATACTTTCACCCTGCCCATTACACAGCAATCTCTCAGAGACAACTCACTAAGTGGAAAAATACCTGCTGCCCATTTCAATTGCAAACTCCTCCTAAGCTTAAAAAAAGTACAGGGCAGGATGGCACAGATGGTTCTGCAACCTTTCTCCTAAGGCAGTGGTCGGCAAGCCACATGAGGCTCTTTGGCCCCTTAAGTGTGGCTCTTCCACAAAATACCACATTTTCAGCAAAGGCCAGCTTAGAAGTACCCTAATTAAGTTAATAACAATGTACCTACCTATATAGTTTAAGGTTAAAAGTTTTGGTTCTCAAAAGAAATTTCAATCGCTGTACTGTTGATATTTGGCTCTGTTGACTAATGAGTTTGTCAACCACTGTCCTAAGGTATTGAGAATAGGAATACACTTGCCCAGGTTAACTATTTAGTAGGGCAGCCTTTCCTGGCAATCAGGGGGCCTAGAATAAGATCAACACCCTCATGCAGAATCTCCCAGCAGAGCCCTGAACTTCTAGGCCACTGCCCCGAGGGTGCCGCCCAAACATGGTTCCAGGTCTCCAACACTGTAGGGTTTTCTGGCTGACAGTAAAGTCTACCTGGGCATTGCATTGAGAGCCATCACTCCTGTCAGCAATTCTGGTGAGTTGCCCTCCCCTGGACCACAATGCTGGGCATAGATAGTCTCTGTCTGCCCAGCACCTTTTGATTAGGGCCCTTCCCTTTCTCTATCCCTGGTTCTGGGGCCTCTCAGTCACTGTGGACTAGGAATACTAGTAGACAGTTCAAGCTGCCTGGCAGAAATGGTACCCATTGCCCTTCCCACCTGTGGAGAAGGTGCAAGCGTGTGAAGAAGAGGTCTTCATGAGTTTGGTCAGGGGCTTAGAGAAATGGCCCCTCTTGCTAGTAAATAACGAGCAATTGGATGCAGACTGGGGCCGCTGCAGCCAACTTCCTGACACATGGCAAGGGCCTGAGAATGAAGTCAACACCTGCAGGAAATCCTCCAGGAATGAAGAGACCAACAGAGCCCTATCGAGCCTCTGAACCCAGCTGTGCCTTGAAATTCCCAGTTCGAAGAGCCAATACCATTTTCTGGGGAAACTGCTGGAGCTGAGTTTCTGAACTTTCAACAGAAAGTATCCCCATTAATACAAGAAAAGGCTGTGGCAATCCACAAAGACTTCAGAGTGAAAATGAAGGCACCGGGTGGCTTGGGAGATGTGACCTAAACATCTGAAGATATTAAAACAGTCAGCATTTAAACTACTAGGAGTATCATGGTTGATTAACTGCCAGATGAACTTTTACTACCTGCTGCGTGAGTCACTGAACTAAGGCCACACCCGCTGGCTGAGGGGTGAGTGGATCCATATTGTGTGTAGAAACTGGTCCAAAGGAGGCTTGGGAGTCAGCGCGGGCAGGCTTTCAGGAGGAGAGGGGAGAGGGCTCCCTACCTTCACTATCTTATCAGCTACTCTTGAAATTCCTGGATCTGGACTCCCACTTTCTTAAACTATAGCACTCCACTCCGAGAAAAGCTTTGGACTATCTTCCCAGAAAACGTGCATGAACATGAAAATGTCACATTTTTGTAGGGAGCTCAGACTTCTAAAGCCTTGCTAGGGACCCCCTAGGGACTCAGGAACTCCCCATCAAGAACTCTGTTCTACTGAAACCAAACTAAGGAGCAGCCTGAACACAGCATTGTCATCAAACTGAGCAGCTTCTCCTAAATCTCGCAATTGTTTTCATCACCCGGTCTCTGTGGGGAATGGGTTTTCCACGTGCTCTCCTTGAACCACTAGGTGGTTTTCAGGGAAACCACAGTCTCCTGTTTGTCTGCCCACTGCTCAGCCCCGTCTCCTGAGAGAGTGAGAGGAATGCAGACCCCTGCTTTGTCTGCACAGCGCTCCTGCTCCTTTGAGAAATGACCTTCCCCTCCGCTCCCAAAGGTCACGCCACAGGACCGTGGCTGTCCCACACTGGCCATAGCTGTCCCAAGTTAGGCCGCTACAGTTCCTTCTCTGGGGATTTTGAAGTTGGGACCAAGCAGGAAGGCAGCCTCCAGATGTTGCAGCTGAAGGACCTCAGCTCTGGGAGCTGTTAGTGGCCATGTTTCTTCTTAACCACAACGACAGCACCCAGAGGAAGCAGGGCCCAGGTAAGAGAAGTGAAAGGCAGGAGACAGAGAGGAGAAGCAAGGAGATGCAGATGCTGAGTGATGGGGTCCCAGGTTCCCACCCCTTCCAGAGGCCCAGCTGCAAACCTGCTTGGGCACAGCACCCCCATCTTTTCAGTACATCTACACTGCACAGAAGCTACTTCAAGTAGTGCAGGCAATGCCTTAAGTTCAGGCCTCTCCTGAATTTTAATTTTCCCTGAAAAGCTTAACAATTCATTCTTAGGGTTTTAAGAAATAACGCTATGCTGATAAAATAATTCCCAGGTCTCTATTCCCGAATTCTCACTTGGATGTCTTGCTATCATTTTATACCTAACACTGTAATATAAATGTTTTAGCTACTCTTGAAATTCCTGGATCTGGGCTCCCACCTCATTAAATTACAGCACTCCACTTTGAGAAAAGCTTTGAACTATCTTCCCAGAAAATGTGCATGAACATAAAAATGTCACATTTTTGACATTTTTGGTTTTAGGCGACCCTGCTAGAGGTTATGACCCACAGGTTGAGAACCACTGCTGTAGAGCATAAGACCATCAGAAAACACAGATATTTACATTACGATTCATTAACAGTAGCAAAATTACAGTGATGAAGTAGCAAAGAAAATAATTTTATGGTTAGGGGCCACCAAAACATGAGGAACTATATTAAAGGGTCATGGCATTAAAAGGTTGAGAACCACTGGTCTAAAGACTACTCCAATGGCTACATAACAGAATCACCTGGGTATTTGAAGAAAATACTAAGCCAGAGCCTCAGAGAACAACTGAATCAAAATTTCTATGGGGGCAGCTCATGCTTAAACAAATGTTTGCTTTCTCGGGTCTTAGTTTAATGAGGTGTCAATGGGGGGAAGAGGGTGTCCTCATTTGGCTTAGGATTCCAGGACCTTTAGTTTTGATTTTACCAATTGGTTCTTGCTCCTAATATGAAAAGGAAGGGGGTGGTGTGGGAAGTATTTGTATGTGTTCCTTTTTCTTCCCTGATTACCCTCAAAAGAGCTTTCAAATAATCTCCTAAGTATTGAAGTACTGAAGTCATAAACTAGTTGCAGAAAATCAGCTTACTGGAACAACAGGAAAGACATTCTTTTGCTTTGCAAAGGCTTTCCCATCATCTGGGGCCAAAAATATTATCTTCTGACCCAAAAAGCTACTAATAAACCTTGTTTCTTTCTATAGGCCAAGCAAGAGAGATGATTTTGCCACAAGCAACAAAGCAAAATGAACAAGATTGTTCTCTGGATCCTCCCACCTCCACTCCTGCCCTCTCCCACCTCCAGCCACCCTCCACTTCCAGGTACCTGCCTCCGGCCCTTGGACTGTCTGGAGTCCACAAACTGTCCCCATTCCAACAGACTCCCTTCTTTCCTGAGAACTGCCTAGCCCCAAGTCATCCCCCCCCCTATTTTTCCCCTCCCCATCCAAATTCCAAATCCCACTAGCACGCTCTCTCTCTTTTTGTAAGATTGTTTATGCACAGAATATTGTGTTCCCTCTCCATTTCTTCAGGAGTCTGAGTGAGAGAAAGTTGCAATTATGGAGGCACACAGAGGAAAGCTGGCATAACTGGGGCCATTGCTAGTGATGCTCCAAAAAGAAGTTAAATTAATGGTACTGTATTTTTTGTTACTGTTCCATTGGAATATTGGGGGTAAAGCTAAAACAGTAACCTTATGAAGACAATTCACTCATGTGAGCCTCACTCCTCCTAAATTACAAAGATAAGTAAAGCTTATGTACTATATTTATATTTTAAAAGATGAGATTGTCGTCCCAAATTAATCTCTAAATGGCAGGGTAAGTCAAGGGAGGGAGAATGGAGGCATACTATAAAGGCTTTGTCAACTCCCTGCCTCAAAAGACCTCAACCCACTGCACCACTGAAAACCTCAGAGAGCAGTAAAGGGCACCCCTTTCTGAAAGTTTGCTAACCCGATCCAGGCCTCTGTAGCTAGCCTCATAGGGCGAAGACACAATCATCAGCTCCCCAAAAGGTCACACACCTCTGACTTTACACCTCTGCCTACAGAGCAAGAACATTTATCGCCTTCCTCCTTTGGGACTCTTAGCTGGCTTCACCATGGCCAATGACAGTAAAAATGTTTATTATTTATAATGCCCAATACCATCATGCCATGTCTGAGGACAAAGCTCCAAAACACAGGGATTAGGTTTTTAGAATGTGATACAATTGGGGGTGGAAAAACTCCAATCATGACCTCCTTCTCAAAATACCAGAATAAGAAATAGAGATGGACAGAACAACCCAGAGGCCTAGAGCCTGTCCGTGTTTACCAAGGTTCCCAGCCCCCACACTGCTCCTCACTGCCTGTTCCCTATGTGCTAGAGCTCCTCAAGGCCCCTCTTCTCATCTCCCTCCATATTTTCCTCCTTAGGAGACTTCATCCTCTCCTTTGGCTAAGTTACAAGTCATCAATTCCCAAATGTTGGTCAACCCTCAGCCCAGGTGATTCTCCTGATAGACAATATTTCACACAACTAAATGGAGCTCTCACAGACTATTTGAGCATTAGAAAAACAACACCTAAAATTAATTAAAACATAACAAACATATAAATATACAATATATGTTCAAAATATATGAAAACCAAAGCTTCACTAGTTAAAATTGGAGATTGCTAAAGTCCAAACTCACTACTCTGAAAATTAATAAAGAGAAAGACAACAAGCATAAATCCTGCCTTTTAATATGAACATTTCAGAGTAACCACACAGGCAATAAGGAAAAGGCCTCTTCAATGAAAAACTCCAAAAATAAATGGAGAAAGAAATAATGGATCTAAGCAATGATCATTAATGAGTGCTAAAACCATCTAGGTGAAAGACTTATGGGATTTTATAATAGAGGGATCAGTAGCTTCACCTTAACCCAATGATCAATCCTAGAATCTTTAAATGTGTAACAAGCAGACACCATCTGCCTGTTTATGACGTAGGACAGGAAGTACACAGCACCAGCTATGAGGTGTTCTCACCAATAACCTGATCTGAATTGAAGCAAGCCTCTATATCAAATTTTCTATTAATAGGAAATATGTGAAACAGAGAAACAGGGCAAGTGACAACACAGAGACACAATCAGCCAAATCCTGGATATGGATATCACAGATGACAATGACTTGCTTTCACCAAGATATTAATATTTTGAGAAAAGTAAGGGTGGTGGTGGTGGTGGAAGGAGGGTGTATAACTATAGAATAAGAGTCAAAGCAACAAAAAAGCCAATCTGATCATGTCATTCTTTTACTTAAAACCCTCTGGGCTCTGCCGACTCTTCTGCAGCTCTCCCATCGTGTCCTCTCAGCGCTCTAACCACCATCACCTGCATTCAGTTTCTTGAACTAGCCTCTCCTTATTCCTCAGGTACTTCCCATGAGTTCCCTCTCCCTTGGGGAGGAGAAGTGACCTAGCCATAATACACCCTTGTAACACCCTGTACTTCTCAGATGTGTATGTTTCACATCTGCCCTTGAGGACAGACACCACATCTTTTAGCAGAGTGTTACACTAAATAAAAATCTGCTTAACACACAGGTGAACAAATAAAGTATTAATCACATGGTTCAATGCCACCAGGCAGGAAGTTGGGGACACGTTATCAATAAAGCCCAGCATAGTCCCTGCTGATCTTCATTGCTGTGATATCTGTTTTTACTACCCAGAACCCAGGCTGAGGAGCTGAGGGACACAGAGAAGGAAGGACTCACCGCCTCGTGGGACTTGGGAACAGGTATGATGATGGCCAGCACACAGATGAGCTGGAAGATGGCCCCCAGGAAGAGTCCATACCGAAGCAGGTTCTCCAGGAACGTGGGCTCAGGCACCTCAGGAGGTGAGAAGTCCAGGTCGGAGGCCATGGCTCCTGCTATGTGAGGTCTCCTCTGACTCCCACACTCCAGAGCCAACTCCTAAAGGCAAAGGGTAAGTGTCATTTTCTACAACTGACTTTTAAACGGTCCCATTACACAACACACACACACACACACACACACACACATATATGCAAGAATATATAAAACAATTGTGGTGAAATCAATTATTGAATCTAGATGGAGTATATATGGATAATCATTGAACCATTCTTTCAACTTTTTGGTATGTTTGAATTTTTTCCAATTATAAAGTTAGGAAAAAATAAGTAAGTAAATGCAAACACTTCAACAAAAATCTCAAATCAACACACATTTACTGAAGGCCTGCTATGTTTCTTGTGTGTTCATTTATTCATCTAGTCATTCATTCAACAAATACTTATTGAACATCAAGCATTTAAGAGCAAGCAACACAGACATATCTCTATTCTCATGGGGTCTATATTTCAGGAAAGAGGCAAAAACATATCCAGATGTGAAACACCAGCTATTTAAAACTGTTTAAAAAAAAAAAAAAAAAAAACAAGAAGGGTATCACTTATTTTGTATAGAGCGACAGGAAGTGCTTTCTGAAGGAGAGATTAGAATAAAGTGGCCAAGATATGACATGTGTGAGTAAACCATAGTAACATCTCAGGGCACATATCCCAGGCAGAGAAAAAAGAAAGAGAGAGGCCCGGGGGCAAGGATATGAGGCCAAAAGGGTCAGAAAGGGGAGCTCAGGATGGGAGAGAGGAAAGAGGTAAGGACAAAGATGAGAACCCTCACACTTTCGATTTGATTAACATGTAAAGCCACTTTGAGCAAAGAAGTGACATGACTTGACTTACACTAATGAGGGGAAGTGAGGTGCAGAGTGGACATGGAGATCAGTGAGGAGGCTATTGCCAGTAACTCAAATAAGAGATGCTGGAGACTTGGATGACAGGGGCAGTGGTGGAAGGTCTGGCTTCAGCTCACCTCCAGCCTCTCCTTCCGGCTGAGCCCCCCACTCCTAATACCCTGGTCAAACTGAAAGAACTGCCTGTAATTCTCTAAGAGCAATAGGCTCTTCCTCCAAGGCTGAGCCCTAAAGTGCCACCTCCCAGGCATGTCTTATTGCCACCTTCCTGACTGAACTACTTCCCCTCTCCCTACGAGGATCGGCCTAAATGGGCAGTCGGACATCCCTCTCACAATCCAGGACTACTGACTCCCAACTGCTCATCTGCCTGCCTTCCTTGCCCCTCCCTAACCGCTTCTGCCTGCCAGCCTGATCACCCCCTAACCACTCCCCTGCCAGCCTGATTGATGCCTAACTACTCCCCTGCCAGCCTGTTTGCCCCTAACTGTCCTCCCCTGCAGGCCAGGTCACCCCTGTCATTCTCTGCAGGTCTGGTCGCCCCCAACTTCCCTCCTCTGCTGGCCTGGTCATCCCTAACTGCCCTCCCCTATAGGCTTGATCACCCCCAACTGTCCTCCCTAGCAGGCCTGGTCCCTACCAACTGCCCTCCCCTGCTGGCCATCTTATGGCAGCCATCTTATGTCCACATGGAGGCAGGATCTTTGACCACATAGGGGCAGCCATATTTTGTGTTGGAGATAGTCAATTTGCATATTACTCTTTTATTAGATAGGATAGAGGCCTGGTACACAGGTGGGGGCCAGCTGGTTTGCCCTGAAGGGTGTCCCAGATCAGGGTGGGGGTTCCCTTGGGGTGTGGGACAGCCTGAGCGAGGGACTATGGTGGTTTGCAGGCTGGCCACTCACCCCCCCAAGCGACCCAAACAGAGGTCCTGATATCAGGGATTTATTTATCTTCTATAAATGAAATTTTGTAGCCTAGAACAGAGTCAAGCCTCTTGCTTACTCCATGGTTGCCGCCATTTTTGTTGGGATTTATTTACCTTCTATAATTGAAACTTTGTAGCTTGGAGTGAAGGCCTGGGCCCACCAGGGTATGTGGAAAGCTTGGCTTCCTCCATTGCTGGGGAAACCCAAGTCTCCTGCTTGCTCCATGGCTGCAGCCATCTTGGTTTGTGGTTAATTTGCATACTCACTCCTGATTGGCTGGTGGGCAGAGCTTGTGATGGTTAATTTGCATATTACTCTTTTATTAGATGGGATGGGTACAAAGTTTCAGTTTGGCATAATGAAAAAGTTCTGGAAATAGAGGATGGTGATGGTTATACAATATTGTGAATGCCACTGCATTGTATAGTTAAGATAAATTTTATGTGTATTTTATCACAACAAAAAATAATTTTATCTGTTTCTTTTTACTTTTTATATGTTACTACTAGAAAATTTATAATTACACCATGGCCTGCATTGTATTCCTATGGTATAGCTCTGGCTAAAGACTGTCCTAAGACCTTTCTCCACTTTGGCTCCGCAGCTTATTACTTTGCAACATTTTCCAACATGAAAGAGGAGTGACTAAAGCATAACAAAAATGACCTTCTAACTAAGGAGACTGGGACTTGTACAAATGTATATTGTATCTTTTTCAACCTGTCCTATGCTGTGCCAACAAGGTGGCTGCCTTTTCACACCACTTGTCTTCTTTGGGAATCGCCTTCAAAGCCAGAGCCCTCCTCCCCCTCTTTCCCCCCTAAGTTCTCAGAGCTGGCAGATCTTCATCCTCCCAGGAAGAATTTTATTTCTGGAAAGCACCCAACATCATCTGGATCCAAGTGTGGTGAATCAGGTGGGGCAGCAAGCTCAGGAATACCATTTATGGTCAAATATAAGGTACGATGCTAAGACACCAGGAAGATTTTTTGGGGTGGCTCATAACCTGGCCCTGAAATGAATTCCAACGCAGTCTTGTGAGAGGAACTTCACTGGAGGAAACCTACAGCCCAGCAGGGCTGTACATACTGTGCCATGTAAATAACAAGGTGTAAGAAAGGCCCCACATTCTTGTTGCACCTTATACACACATTTTTTAAATGTTTCATGCACTCTCTCTCTTCCCCTTCCCCATGTCCTCCCCCATGCTCGTTTTATTTGCCTCTTCTGCAGCTCACTTCTTCTAACTCTGTGACTTTCTAAATAAACTTTTTTTTGGGGGGGGAGGGGAGAGAATGCGTTCAGCCCCAAGCTTTACCCTTAAGGTTGTAACAAGCCTACTTGGCTTATTGATATTTAGATTTATTAGTGTTACCAACAACACTGTTGTATCTTCAGTACAATAAAAACATGGGCCCTAGCTGGTTTGGCTCAGTGGATAGAGCATTGGCCTATGAACTGATGGGCCCGGGGTTCGATTTTGGTCAAGGGCATGTAGTACCTAATTGCAGGCTTGATCCCTGCCTCTGGTAGGGACACATGCAAGAGGCAAACAATTGATGTGTCTCCCTCACATCGATGTTTCTCTTCTCTAAAAATCAATAGAAAAATATCCTCAAGTGAAGATTAACAACAACAATAAAAGACATGAGACCAGAAGTCAGGAATCCTGGGCACAAACCCTGACTCCATCAGCATTAGCTACACTTTGGGCCCATCTCTTGACCCCGTTCTCAGGAGCCAAACATCAATATCCATTCAAAGCCATCATACATTTAGTGGTTTTTTTTCCTTATGGCAATTGGGCAATATATAACAAGAGCCATAAAAGTGATTATATCCTTTGACTGAATAACTCACTTCCTAGAATTATAGTAAGGAAACAATTCAAAAGAAGAAAAAGGCTTCAGGTATAAAAAAGTTCATGGCAGTGCCATTCATAATACTGAAAAACAGGAAGCAATGAAAGTGTCCAACAATAAAAAGCCAGTTAACCCAATTATGGCACACCATGGCATATCTCCCCTCACCAAAAACACAAACATAAATGGTATCAAGTCAGGGGAAAGTCTTTGCAAAATAACATTAACTGAAAGAAGAAACAAAAATGGTGATGAAGGAAGGGGACTTGACGTGGAATGGTGAACACACGATACAGTTTAAGATGATGTGTTGTGGAACTGTGCACTTGAAACCTATATATTTTGTTAACCAGTGTCACCCAATAAAGATATAAAGCATATAAAAATACACAAATATGTCCCTCCCAAATAAAAAACTGTATCATAAAAAAAGAGAAGAAAAAAGTAAAACAATTACATAAACACTGTTATTGCAAATACGTAGAAACTGTGATTTCTTTGGCTAAAGATCAAAAGAGGCCACAGGAAAATGTACATTGCTGTTAAAGTGAAAGAGTCATTAGTTCCAATTTTTGGAATAATATTGAAACAATGAATATAATTTACAAGGAAAATCCTGCCCTGATCAGTATGGCTCAGTTGGTTGGAGCCTCATCCTGTATAATGAACGGTTTTGGGTTTGATTTCCGATCAGGGCACATACCTAGGTTGTGTGTTCAATTCCTGGACATATCTGAAGGCGATCAATAGTTCTCTCTCACACCTATGTTTTGCTCTCTCCCTTCCCCTCTAAATTCAATAAGCATATCCTCCATTAAGAATTTTTAAAATAATAATTACAAAATTTAAAAATTAAAAGGAAAATCCATGTCCTATCAACTTCCTTCACAAGACTTTTACAGGGTTTAATGAAGCACTGTCCAAAAAAACTTTCTGCAAAGATGGAAATGTTCTATATTTGTGCTCGTTAATATGGTAAGTCACCAGCAACACCAGCCTGCCTGCCAGTATTTCTGGGTTTCCTTTCCCGATTACACAAGTCACAAGAGTCCTACTCATCCTTTAGTTCTCAGTTAGGAGCATTCCCTCAGGCTTCCTGTCTCAGACTTTGTTCACTTCCCATCCCCCCAACACACCCTGGCCACTGTCACAGCTGTAACAGAAAATCATCCTTCTCCAGGGTACACACACACACTCACCTCATTCACCTTACAACCAGTCTGGGAGGCAGGCATTACCGAGGATGAGGAAACTGGGGCTTAGAGAGCTCCCATGGCCCGGCCAGGGATTACTTGGCTGAGAAGTGGCGAAGTCAGGATTGAAACTGGCCCTCTCCTCCAGACCCTGAAC